CATACTAAGTGTATTTTTATATTAATATGTACTTATATTAATGTAAAAATACACTTATAATTAAATTACACACGTATATATATAATATATATAATAACTATATATATTGTATATATATATTATTATAAAATATAAATAATAAGTAATTTAAATTAAATACATTTTTTTAAATAATAATAAAAAATTTAAAAAAAATTATATAGCTATATGAAATTTTATTCTAACTGTATTTTAAAATTAATATATATATATTTATATCAAAATACACTTAGAATTAATTTGTATATATATCTATGTATATAAAAATAAATAAAAATAATAAGAAATATACATACGTCCATATACAAAATTACATAAATAATTATATAAATATATACGTAGACTTCAAATATATAAATATGCATATATATTTAAATTCTACGTGCGTATTTATGTAATATTTTTACATAATTCAGTAATTTTATTGATTGCAATTTGAGGGACCTGCCTGCCAACCCAGGCCGAAATTCCAGAGAATTTAATTTGCTAGCACTGTATTTTACCCTGTAACGTTCTACGACACCCTAAAACCTGTACATGGGGGTTCTGTTTTATTTGGGAGACTTCGCTGAACACAAATATTAGTGATTCAAAACAGTAAAACATATCACAGCGATGATATTGTCAGTGAAAATGACTTTTTTTGCATTTTTCACACCACAAACAGCACTTTTACTGATGATATAATTGTTTGTGATACGTTTTCCAGTTTTAGAAGCACTAATATTTTGTGTTCAGCGTGTCTCAATACTATGTACCCAGGTTTCTTACAGAAAGTTACAGGTCAAATATATGGGTCAAATATTTTTACACTGAAAATGGCCAGGTTGGTTATGTTGCCTTTGAGAGCGTATGGAAGCCCAGGAATGAGAATTACCCCCATGATGGCATACCATTTGCAAAAGAAGACAACCCAAGGTATTGCAAATGGGGTATGTCCAGTCTTTTTTAGTAACCACTTGGTCACAAACACTAGCCAAAATTAGCGTTCAATTTAGTTTTTTTACTTTTTTCACACACAAACAAATATGAATGCTTACTTTGGCCAGTGTTTTCGACTAAGTGGCTACTAAAAAAGACTGGACATACCCCATATTGAATGCCCTGGGTTGTCTACTTTAAAAAAAATATGTACATGTGGGGTGTTATTCAGAGATTTATGACAGATAATAGTGTTACAATGTCACTATTGATAAATTTTAAAAATGTATGTTTTGAAACCGCAATATCCTACTTGTACCTATAGCCCTATAACATGCAAAAAAAAGCAAAAAAGCACGTAAACACTAGGTATTTTTAAACTCAGGACAAAATTTTGAATCTATTTAGCAGTTTTTTTCATTCGCTTTTGTAGATGAGTAAAAGATTTTTCAAGTAAAAGTCAAAAAACATGTATTTTTTTCAATTTTTCATCAGATTTTTGTATTTTTTTTAAATTAAAATACATGAGATTATATAAATAATGGTATGTAAAGAAAGCCCCTTTTGTCCTGAAAAAAACAATATATAATTTGTATGGGAACAGTAAATGAGAAAGCGGAAAATTACAGCCAAACACAAACACCACAAAAGTGTAAAAATATGCCTGGTCGCAAATGTACAACATCGCAAAAACAGTCCAGTCCTTAAGGGGTTAACCATCAAGACCTTCTGCAATATCATTAATAAAATATTAAAGAGAATGGGTCCAAGTACAGATGTAGTTTATTGATGAGCCTTCTATGTGCGACAATGTCAAAGGATAGATAGATAGATAGATAGATAGATAGACCGACCGACGGATAGACGACGGACAGACAGACAGTAAAAACTTATAACATTGAAGCATCAATCAACTAAAGCATTAATTATACCAATTGAATTTATTTTTCTAGATTACTTTGTTATAAAAGGGTACGTTCAAATTAATGAATACCATTGTATACCATTATGAATTTTTAGATAGGCTATCACACATCTTTTCTAAAAGAACTATACCTATAAAGTATTGCAGAAATAGCAATCTACCTATACATTTATTTTCCACTAGAATCTGCGTGTTTTGTCCAGTAGTATTTCTAAAGGCATGGTGACTGAAGTCATTACATTGACAGAATGTTGCAATTTGCAACTGGCAATTATAGTAACTTCTTGTTAATTGCATGTGACAAGCTTTTGTTGCAAGGATCTTGCTTTTTCTTTTTAATGCTCCTCCCTTACTAGCTTAAACAGTATTATTGATTTGTGATTTGTTGAAAGTAGGAATGAGAATGGTGGAGGACTGCTTCACATTTTTTGTTTTTTGTTTGTTTGTGTTGATGTTTTCACCTCCATGATCTATGTATACGTGTATAGTAACTGTATGGCAAGTTATGGTCACTGGAGAAGCAACCTTCTACATTTTCCAAGTCAATTCTCACATTTTCTCAACTCACTTTATAACTTTTACTAAACTCAACAAGGAACTAATATACAAAATAATAACTCTGGGGTGTCTTATTGCACTTGTTTAAATTATTTATTAGAAACAATTTTTGTTTATTTAAAACATAGATGCATAGCAAGTACATACATGCATAAGAAAACAGCTATTTGCAGCTATTGTGTGTTTCGATTGCTGTTCACATAAAAAAAAGAAAAAGTAAATTTTTCACAGAGTCTAACATAGTAATCTAAATTAAAGCAGAGCAAATTATTATTATGATGATTCAATAATTAGTGCAATTTGTGGTTTTGTTAGTGGACTTCTCATGATGCTTTTAATTAAACTACATATTTATTAAAAGTTACCCTGCAACAGAGTGGTAATTGGAATCATCATGTAATTTCCATTAAATTGAAAGTAAATTAAATATGCATGTGTGTTAAGAGGCCATTGAAGATACACCTACGGTCAGCCATATTGAGACATGTCATGGATTTTGCAAAAAAAATATATTGTATTGGTTATAAAACACAACTGAAGATAAATGTTCATTTTAGCTCTGAAATAACTAATTGGTGTATTTGCATCTATATCATGGCTATTAGAGGTCAAACATAGTCTGCTTTAAGAAAAGTTAAGAGGATACACGTATAAAGTATAGTATAAGGAAAGTATGTTCCATCTAAAAATGCTCTTTTCACTGCAATTTCTATTATAATTACATTAAATATATATATTTTAATTTCCTTACCTGGTACATTATGGAATGTTATTGCTGAAATGTATCAAACATATCACAGAAAATAAGCTACATAAAATGACGGTACATTTGTAGACAACTTCAAACTCAAAGCGTTGAAATTGTTATATTGATAAAGTAATATTAATTTCCATAAGACTATCTCATCAATAATGTTCTCATAAATTCAATACTTTTGTAGACTGGTTATAGACAACAGTGCGCATGAGTGCAATGTACTCTGGATGTTACTTTATTTTTGTTTTCTGTTTGTCTGCATGTTATCTTGTCAAGTAAAAATGTATATTTATATTTTGTATATCTTTTGTATATGTAGTTCAATAAATCATTATCAAAATATAATAGATCACTTATTTTTATATGAATGTTTCTGGTAGAGATGTGTATTTGAAAAGATGTTCTTTGTGGTCTGTCCAATCTGCTGTATAATGTATATATTATTTTTCAAAACTGATCTATTTTTCAAAACTGAACTACACAAAACTTATCACAAAGTGTATACCTGTTTCTTATCTGTAGTTATTGTTAATTTTCATTTTAGTACATGGGAGAACTTATTGTAAATTTGCAAACTTCAATATAAAAGTTACCTTTACAATTCATGAAAATGCTCAGTGTGACATTTTATAATAAGCAGATCACACATTTCCAGCTGCATTATGGCAACTGTGACTGCATTATACAATGACTTGACAAACTGTTCAATAATTGGTTGTTTGGGAGAATCAGATCTGTTTTTAATTAGAGGAAAAGGGTTTTGAAACAAATGTTTGTTGGTTGTAAATTCATTTGTTTACCTAGTGATGCAGCTGTGATTGCATTAAACATTGCTGCTTTCTCATTGAGTGACTTGTATTTTTTTTCTGACTCTTTAACGTGAATAAAAAGACACAACAGACTCTAATCTTATTGTCTTATAAAACACATATTTGCATGTTTAGGTAGAAAAAAAGAATAGTTAGGTAAATGGAATGGTTCACATATCAACTGAAAAATCTGTTATATAATTCCTTAAACTCATAAATTACACACACACACACACACACACACACACACACATATATACTTAGATAAGTGTTTTTTTTTCAGTATTGCAGATTGTATTGCAGAATTGCAGTAGCTACAGGCCCACAACTTTTGTGACTTAATATAGCTTGTCAGTTCTGAGCGACATTGTAAAAAAATGTTACTACTATATGCAGTCCAATTCTCTGTATGCCCAGTTTTATTAACCCCCATAATCTACCTTAAAGTAGATAAATCAGAGGTCCAAACTCAGTGTGGCAGCTCAGCTTCATATCCTCAGCTGGCAAACACATCCTTGAGTTATCTATGATCCCCATGCTACACTTTGAAACAGAGTGTTACATAAAAACTTGACAGCAGGGGGCGGGGCCTGACCTCGGAACGAAGCAGCCGCATGTTAACAGAGCTCCTGCTCCGGGCGGCGCTAATTACCGATTACAAACCACAATAAGCGACCACCAACCTATTACCAGCTGCTGCGTGAACAGGGATAACAAGCCCTACATGCTGATACCAAATTTGCAGACCTCCGAGCCGGAATCGATCAAGCGACAGTTGCGGCCTGCAGACATGGCAGGTGTGGGAGAGACGGACGCTCTCCCGTCATGGCAAATAGAGCAATGTGCCAGCAAGGACACCCGTTCCCCCCCCTCCTATGGACCGGCGGGGGTTATCCCGGGCCCCACCAGTGAACAACAAGTTTTTGCTCATACTCTCACTGCCCACGATGGTCTGGGCTCAGCAGGAAGCAGGCCCAGCAATCAGGCCACAACGCAAATGGCGCCTACCTATGCAGACCACGGGGAGGACATAATTGAGCGTTCCCTCAGACGCATAGACAAGGCATTCCAGCGCTTCTGGGAGCAACTGGAACAGCTTATGGCACCCCAATCATCAAGGACTGTGAGGGAGGAGAAGGGAGCCGTGGAGGAAGGGCCGAACGAGCCCCGTCCGTGCAGATCCCAATGTGGAGCACACGCCGCCCAAGCTTCCCAGCTTCCTAGGCCGGAGGCCAAGAGGAGTATATCTCCTCAGCATCATCCACGACGCCGGAGGACTGCCCGCCGCTGGCGGCGCTTTTCCATCGGGACCCTCCGCTGCGCCCTTAAAAGGGAAGACCCGGCTGCACAGCATACCCGAGTCTGTGGGACACAGATGCGGACCTTCCACAGGGCCTGGGGCTGGAGCAGAGGTTGCCGTGGCACATGCACCACAGTCATTATCAACAGAAATGTAAGAGCTGCGGTGCGCCTCTCCGGGCCGGGCGCTCAGCTACGTTGCCATGCGAGCCTAAACGGGCTACCCACAGGCCTCAACCACCCACCGATCAGCCGACGCCTGCACTGGCTGGCAGCTCTGAACAACACCACTCAAGGGGACAATACTATACCTGAGGCTGGCGTAGGCTAAGTAACCCTCCAGGAACTCACACTGACTGTCTTGAACTTGCTAAAACACGGATGATTAGAAAGTCTAGTACAGTTAATTCTGCCAGGATCCCACTGTTTATAGGTTGGCCAAATGGACACTCATAACATATACATGTGCTGCACCCTCCACTATGACACACATCCCGATACTGAAAAACTAGTTACGGCGCACTCAGACTTGTAAATTAATAACTAAGAAGGCTAACGCCTATCTAAGAATAAATATGGGGATTTAGTTCCACCATATGGCCATATGATGTTAAGCCCACTACTACTTCAAAGTACCCCAATATCAGTGGGTCCTACTAGTGCTAAACATAAGCTACAGTGTATTGAATTCATTTCTTTGTAAGAGCAAAGTGAGTATACAATAGTGATAAAAGCAATTAAAAACAGTGTAACAACTAAACAATTAAAGTGTTGTGCTTGAATGAGTATACTCACATTTGCAGATAATATCTGTGCTGCATAAAGAAAATAATAAAAGTGACATGACTATAAAACTCCTCCTATTTATACACACCTGTGGCCACCTCTAAAGAGGTCTCTGAAGCTGGGGGGCCTGGGCGGGGTGCTTAACCCCAAAGGAATCTGGTCTGGATTCCAAATATAATTGCACAAAGGAGAGATTGGGGGCACACCCGTATACATGAAAGGTGCTGCCGCAGTG